AATCGGTTAAACCAAATCAGCTTACACAACAAGTAAACAAAAGCCAAGTCAGTCCGTCGGTCGTCGACTGTCGCTGATTGCTGGCTGTGGTTCACTGTCAATGCAATTGGCAGGGAATAGTTGGAATACTTTTATATATTTTAAAGCGGGAAGAAACAACACCTCTGCACTGGAATAAAAAACAATTTACTTTGTTAGTTTTTCAAAATTGTATTTATATTTTAATATAATCAAAAATAATAATTAAATTTTTTGTCCTTAATTTTAAACACATAACTAAAAGAAAGTTATAAATCCTACTTAAATATACCTACACCAAGAAAAAAACTGAAAGTTTAGTTTTAATAAGTGTGGCTTGAAAAACAAACTACAGACAGTATTAAAAAATAAAATAATATATACTTTTTAGTTTTATTTCTATACCAAAGGGTCTAAAACTGTACTTATCTTTAGACCACATAAGGTATACTTTATTTAGAAATTTTTTATAACAAATAGTTTAAAATTCGTGTAACAATAGTTTAGTTTCTGTAACAATTTTTTTTTTTGTTGGTGTACATAAATAAAAATTGAAAAATTAAAAAGAAAAATGGTGCCCAAAATTATATAGAATAAAATGTACAAGGTTTTAAGGCAACTTTGCCTGACATACTTTTCCGATTTTTGCTAGTGTAGGGGGAGGAGATGGGCTGTGATAGACATTGACACATTGCAGGTAATCAGCCAAGCTTGGGCCTAATGAAGGTCAAACCCGTTGACAGATATCCACGTCTCCGTCTCCATCTTCAGGCCAATCATTGGCAACTTCGGAGCTGCTTTTTGGATCGAATATAGTTCCAGCTGAGGGCACACGTCACGCAACATTCAAATGTTTTGAGTGCGAGTGCGAGGAAGTCGGTTCGACTAAAATGTTGTTTTGAAATTAACCCAATTTCCGTGCAAATGACAAAATGAAAATGAAAACGGAAAACAAAGTAAAACCGGCGACAGAAATGCGCAGAAATTCCTTGGCAAAAGCCAGTGTAATAATAAACAGCAATCAGCAAATCTTTTGGATTGCCAAAGCAAACAGCAATTCAAGTTTGTCATTGTTTTGTGTTTGGTTTTGTCATGTGAGAAAGTCGTGCCAAATGCAGACCTTTTCAGCAATTACCATAATGACAATTATCCATATAGCTAGTAATGATATATATATAATCCAGAGTTAAATTCCATTCAGGGCTGGCCAGATGCAGCAGCTTACAATTTGCTGAGCAATCTATGCAATTTGCAGACCTTATCCGCTTAATTTCCACCCACTCATTACGACTACAGCTTCATCTCATTGTAATGGCATAATATTTTCAAGCTCATTTTTCTTTTCATTTTCATTTGCCATTCCTTTGCACTTTCTGTCTGTTTGCCTTGAAAATTATACAAAGGCGAGGCGGAATTTAAAGCCAAAAGTGTGGCAAGCATGGCTAAAAGGGAAATAATGCAAAATCTTTAGCCCTTAATCAAATTAGTCAGAGTTTTGGCCTGGGGATGAATAACATTATTTGGCTGGCAATTAGTTGGGGTTTTGCAATTTGTGCATGATTTTTTTTTTCGCCAGCTGTGTGTATCCTTGGGAGTGAAGCTTGTGTTGGTCACAAGTTTAAAGCAAAGTAAGATGAGTATTTAAAGGGAACGAAAAGTTTAAAAAAATGTTTAGTTAATATAAAAATTTCGTAAAATATTAAGGAAATCTTTATGATCAATAAATGTAAAATCTATATTTGGTTAAAAGTATAATTTTTGTACAAAAAATGGTAGCCCCATTTTTTGTCAATCGAATAATAAAAAAGATGTTAAATTAAAAATTTAAAAACTTAAAATGCTTAAAGAGGGAAAATATATTTTTTATGAAAAAGTTAACAATGCTTTTTGTATAAATCGTTTGTTCTCCCATTCTTCCTGTGTGCCTTCCTGTCTAGTCATATGAAACCCTCTCATTTTGCACTTCCTGTGGCAACACATTAATTGATGCAGCTTCATTGTGCACCAATATGTTTAGTTATTTAGTCCGAATTGTTTTTGTGATCGCATAGCAAACTAAATAAACCGAGTCAGATCTGTTCGAGATTGTGGGGAACTCGCCAGCGAAGCGTGAACTGCTATTTGACCCTTTTCCCCCATTTGCCACACCCACACATGCCGCAGTGCACCGCCCCCTTCAACATGGTGCATCGCTGCATCGGTTCTAGCGCAAAACAATTTAAATAACAACGACAGCGAGTTGGTAATGGAGACGAGCCAAGAGTTTCACGGCGAAGCCTGGGAATTGGCCATTTTCTCTCTCTTTCGGAATTACTATCCCCTTCTCTCTCGTGTGTGTGTGTGGAAACCCTTTGAGCACACTTGTTGCTAACCCCCTTCGGCCGCCAAATTCTCCTCCAATTGCAGATTACTGGAGCATGCAATTGTTTGTTGCTTTTGCTGAAAAAGCCCATTTGAAATGCAGATTTCTTCTGCTTTTTGTGGCGGTTTTATTTCACTACATATAAATAGCACATTGATGAGCTCGGGGGCAAAGGATGGTGGAAATGTGATCCCATTACAGCATACAATGCGTTCCAAAAATGCAATGCAAATATTTGTTGAGAAAATAATATATGGAAGAGATTTATAATTGTATAAAATAATAGTGTTACTAAAACATAAAGCTAACGTTAACTGTTTGCTTAAAATATTTATAAACTGTATTTATATTTAGAGCACTTATATATATAATTTTTATTATATATTTTGTATACATTCATTTTTCAGTATACATTCATTTAAAGATGTAGGTACACATGTAACTGGAGGGTGGCAATTGCATTTGAAATTGACATTTTGTTTGTTGCCAACGAAGGACAAAAAAAAGGTTTTGGGTGCCAAAGTCTCAACTCTGAATCGAGGTTATATAGCCTCCCTCTCACTATATATTTACATATTTCTCATTCCTCACGTTTCCACTATTTCTTTTACAACTTCTTGTTGTTTGCCTGTGAATTGTAACGCGCATTTTAATTAGACTGTTAGGGTTGAGAACTTCACCTTATGCAAATTAGTACAAGTCGAGAATGTGGGAGATAACTTCACAGGAATCCAATTATATCTGCACAAGTCTGGAACCAAAGTTGAGGACTGATTACTTGAGAAGTGGATTCCTGTATGCACTGTATACCTTTACGTAATTGGTTTTCCGTTAAGATTGCCATGGAAATTAGCTTGTTTCGCTTGTCCAAAGATATTTTTAATTAAAACCTAATGAAAATTCATTAAAAATAATTGAAAAGTAATTCCGGCATTAAAAAGGAGGTTGAAGATGTGCCTAATTCCTGGGAATATACCCATATGCTAATATGTGACTTGTAGTTGCAGAAACCTGAGAACGGTTTAATGGATTAGTAAGGCGGCAAATTAGGTTTTTGGCAAAGAGGAAATATAACATTCTTCAAAATACATATCTTCCTTTAATATTTGGTTTCCGGAACACAATTTGTACTTAATGGCTTGAAAAATAAATAGTCTACAAATTATATGCTTTATGGTTATTAGACCATAATTATAGATATTATATTTTAAATAAATGGCATGAATATTACTAAAGCGCACGCTTTAAGCAGTTTATAAACAATTATTAATTTCCTATTTCGGCCTTTGGGGCAACAAAATCTCTTCATCTCCCCGCCAAATCTTGTTGGGGCCGTATGTCTATAATCAATAAATCAAAGCCAAAAACGAAGCAGTAAAAAATAGCTGCAAATGCATTAATTAACAAGCGTAAAATTGCACCAAATTGAGTTTTGCGCTGACCACATTTTTTGGTCGATCGAAGGGGCGGCGTTGCGACCGGTGTGTGGGCGTGGCAGTTTGGAAAACCGCAAATGATAATTTACATTGCGGCAACAACAACGAAAACAAACATTTGCAATCAAATTTGATGAAAATTCATAATATTTTTCAACTGTGCCTTTTCGGTAATTTGTCTTTTGGGCAATGGGCGTGAGCGTGGGCGTGGAAAGTGGGCTAAAAGAGATTACATCATTAGTTGGTCCAAATACTGGAGGTCGGACATCAAATGATTTATGTGGCAACTTCAAGAGTAATTGTCGTTTTCGGGCTTTCTTTTATTTGCCTTGTTGCCTAATTTTATTACCGAATTACAAAATATAGATATATAAACTGGACTTTGGACTGGAACGCGTCTATATATTTTGAGAAGAATGTATTTTATTGAAATTTAAATTAAATTGCTTCAGACCTCGTTAGATGAACTATATTGAAAGTTTTTCAATTACTTTCGTATTATAATTCTTTTTATATTAAATAGTTGTAAGTTAACTGTTAAATTAAACCATTTTCTAACTGGAGTGTAAAGGAGATTCTATACCGTATGTTATCTAGTTCTTCTGATTTTTTTTAACTTTTCTCCATTTTTCACAGTATGCTTCTTTATATTTTTCCCCGTTTATTTTTTCGAGTTGTGGGTCAAAGTCTTTGAAAAAATGATGTTATAAAAGAAAAAGTAAACCGTGAACATAAAAAATAAAACCAAAGTAATATGAAAACATGGTTGGCAAGAGACAAACGGGTTATGCGCTTGACCAGCTACCTCGTATCCACAGCCTTAATAAATGTGGAAAATGTTAAGTATACCAGAAATTTAATGCCAAGCAGCGTGTAGAGTAACGTAAAAAATAAATACAAAGGATGGGGTATTGTATAAATAATTTTCTCTAATTAATTGTACAACTTTGGATGGGTTGCCTAGTGTTAAAGCTGCTCACCTGAGCCTTTCCGCTTTTGGCGGTTTTTGTGCGTGATTTCGCATTAAAAGCGAACCAGCCACTGGGTGGTTGTCCAACACTTTGACAACATTTTTCAAATTGCAATTTTCATTTTTGCTCAGCTAATTTAACGCGCATTTTTCAGGCATTTTTTTTTTCTTTTAAGTTATCCATATGTGTATTTATTTGTGACAACATTTGCAGGATGCCAACATCTTGGCCGCACCCAGCCACCACATCCAGAGCCACATCGATGACTTGCCACAGCAATTGCAGCCACATCAGCACCACCAGCAGCAACAACAGCAACATCAGCACCACCAGCACCACCAGCAACAACATCAACTAAATGTCGAGGCTGTCATATTGCAGAATCAGGTGGATACATTGCATTGGCAATTGAAACAGGTGAGTAAATGAGCCGGCGAAAGGCATGCTAAGAAATCCGTAACCAAACAAAAGACTCAAGACACAAACGTGACTTGTGCATTGTGTTCTTGGCTGGAGGAAACTATGTTAAGTGCCAAGTCAACCCGACATCCCCACACCGAAACCCCATCTCAATCAAGATCTGCTTTGACTACCGACTTCTGTTGCCCTCCTTGGATCAACCTGTTTTCCTGTCTCTAGCATTTTTTATTTAAATAGTTCTCACGCTTAATTTACTCGAATCGGAATGGAAATGGAAATGTAAGCGATGTGAGGTACGATTCCGTAACCAGAAGGGGTCGCTTGTTAAGCTAAGTTCTTTTACACTGAAAGTTAAAGTTGATTTTATTCGAACTTCGAAACTTATACCTATTAAACTTATTACATTAAGTTTAAACGATTTCCGTTTAATTTAATATAAAAAAAAAATAAATTAAAATAATAATCTCTTGGATTCACAAATTCTAATAATAAGTACATTATGTATATTTCACATTTCTTTTGAGTCATCAGATTTTTAGAACAACATAATTCGGCTTAGGTCAGTACTATAATTAGTTTCAAACCAAAGATAGGCACAATACAATTTACAAAATACCGCTGATTTTTTTATTATTCCCTATTACTTTTATTTGTGCATCAATAAAGGCATTTCCTTTCTCTATAAATCCTCCTCAGTTAGGGGCAAATGTCTTGCCCCATCGCAATTAGGCGGCAGAATTCTTCTCTGACGCTTAATTATAGACTCGCAGTGTGGTCGGCCGGGCTCTTCTATATACTTTGCTTTGTTCTGGTCTTTGGCCATCGTGTCTTTCATTGTCTTTTGACCATTTCCTTTAGACAACAGCTGCATTAATTTTATACTTCCTCACAAAAGGTATCTAATGGAGCTGACGGGTTTCTGCCTTCTGAAACATCACCGTAAAAGTGAGAAGCGCTAGATTGAATCAACAACAATTATAATTGGTATCTTTATTGGTGTGTAATAATAAGTTGGCCATCAATGAAATGTCTTGGGCTATGAGAAAAATTCTTGAACAGGAATTTCTGGAGGTACTCACATAGATTGAATTGATTAAAGGAGCTGCGAAGAATTTACAAATTATAGCTATGCTGTTTGTGTTGAGGAATATGAAGTAAAAAAAATTACAAGAAGTTATGAGAAAAAATATATATACTGAATAATAGATTCCTACATTTCGAGCTAAAGAAATTCCTTAAACTTCTTTTTGGGCAGTTTATACATAACAAAATCTATTAAATACCTTATAAATCAGTTTTAAACACGAAAAGCTTTAGATTTTTCTTCAATCAAGATTATTTTTCTATCACTTCAAGATTAGTTTTCCCAAGATTTGTGTGATTTTTCCGATAAAAATTAGACCAGTTCACTAAGCCGAGCCTGCTCCCAATTGACCGAATCGAACTTTGAACTCAAAACCATGAAGATGACCTTCAGCGTTCACGCTTCACCCATGGTCAGTTTCTCCCCATGAACACTTTCAATTCGAGGCGATTCGATTCTATGCAACGAACGCATAATCACCCAACGGATGCCGCTGAAAGAGCGAAAATATTTACGCTTTCATTTCGATTTAATCCGCTTTAAATGAGCCCCAATGAAGTTGACTTGGAAAGCCGACGGTCTCCGCCTTGGAAAATTGCAAAAGAAAACAAAGCAACCAGAAAAATAATAAAGAAAAATACATATTTTCTACAGTTTGATGCGTTTCTTGTTTGGCGAACGGCAAACTGGGTTAGAAGGCAGGAAAAAAAAACCGCGTGGAAAAACTTTTTGCCATTATAATTGAAAAGAAAAACTTACCGGGCGTGGGTGGAACCCTAGCGAGAGAGATTGATTGATAGATTGATTGATTGAGCCGATGCAAGTCGATGGGAGGCGACTGCATTTAATTTATGCACCCGTGCGATCCCCAACTGAGTAAACCGGTGCAGCCAGGAAACGCATCGAATGGGAAGCTGTTACCAGGCCAAGCGAATCTGAATCCTCACAGCTCCAATTGCTCGATGGCTGAAACACTTTGGGCATTAATGAAATTAAACAAACCATAACAAAATCGAAATCAAATACAGAAGCAGCCGGGGCAGCGGCAGCGGCCAAACAATTTCCACATAATTTTCAAATAAATCTCAGACACACGAAAACAATTCGTAATTCGAATGAAAACCTCTTGCTAGCACGCAGTAGGAAAACTCCAAAAACGGAAAAACGTCCAAAGAAAAATTAGCAACAATTTCCAAGCGTTGCAATAGCAACAGCAATAGCAAAAGCAACAAACTGCAGCGGCCACTTACATAATTAGCCAGACACCAACTATTTTGGCATCGTGTGAAGCCCCCCACGAAATCCAGCAGATATATAAACCCACCCGTTTTGGCCAATTTTCAAATGGCCGGGGAGGTGGGCGTGTGCCAGGTGATGGCAATAGGCAATCGGCAATCGGCAATCTTAACGCCTTTTTGAGGTCTCTGCCAATTTGGCAAGCGCCTCCAACTCGAATGGCATTTGATAATTAGACAATTTGGCTCATAGAAGTTAACCGAAAGGCGACATTCCCCACTTTGCCACTTGGCCAATGATGCTGGAATGGCCCACAGACCCACAGCACAAAAGAGCTAGAGAAATGCGCAGAGTAAGAGGCGAGATAATAAATCAAGTGAAAGTTTTTATAGGCTGATGATGATGCTGATGGCGCTGCTCCACAAATGTTTGCTGCCAAGCAAAATCATTTACAATTAACATAAATAATAAATTAAAGTCATCGGTTCAAATGCATTATCAAAGTGTCAAAGCAATGACCTGGCACATTGGGGCAAACATATAAGAGTTTATGGCGAAAGGCGAGATGAGTTGGCCAGTTGCATATCGATTGAATGTCTGTTGGTTCATCTATACAATTTTTTATTGGTTTTCAATAAAGCTAAAGTTAAAAACATTTTAGGCGTGCACGATATGGTTATAACTCGTTTGTTTAATCACCATAGAGAGAGCAGTGTTCTTGTGAAAAATGAAAAATAGTGAAGAGAGATAAACAGGTTTTAAACAAAGAAAGGAGAATAAGTAAATTAATAGACGAAAATATAATATAGCACAACAAATAAAAATCTCTTTGAAGTTGCATATTAAATAAAATAATTCGATTTTTTTAAATGGTTTCTCGGGAGACAAAACTGATTCTAGCTTTGTCACGGATTTATTTATGCTTTAAAGTGTCATGTTTTTTTAGTTTTTGTTGATTTATGATTTAATCCAGTGAAAGCGAACTGAGAAAGTGAATGTTGTGCTTAGTTAGTGCCAGCCCTTTTATACCTAAACTCTGTCAATCGTTATTAAGTTAAAGTCTTAATCGTAAAGAAAAATCACTCTCATGAGAAACACTTCTAGACTAACTGTGTATGAAAACAAATTTAATTCTTACTGTCAATGCTTGTTGTTAAAATAGTATTTAATTATTTCATATATTTGTTCAAAGGTACAAGAAGAAAATTAGAATTATCCATAATTTGCTTGCTTATATTGTCCGACATTATTGCCTCTTTCACTTGACCAAACAAGCTAGTCTTTTAAAATACGAGTTAAAAAACGCTGAAAATTCGTTCTACATTCAATAATGTGTATTTGTTTTTCAATGATATATTATATATAGTGAAAAATGATTTTTGTTATCCAAGTTTTATACTGTTAAGTTTCACACGGTTAATTTAATTTAAATTAATTTTTTAATACTGAATTCTAGACCGAAACTAATTGCGAGATGTACCGAGCGGTGATGGAGGAAGTGGCCCGCTTCTTTGAGCGCTACCAGCTTCAGCAACAACTGCAGCAAACCCATCGCAATGGGGAGCAGATCGCCCGCTCCAAAAGCTTGCATCATGTCCACGGAGTGGGTAACACTTCGTTGCAGAGTGACTCCCGGGATGATGACGACTCGAGTGCCGGATCCGCTTCATATCTGCGCGCCCGGAGCAGTACCAATTTGATATTGAATAAGTCAATGCATGCCATGAATGAGGAGCATAATTACGAGACGATTGCACCAGCTGGAAGCTATAATGCCTTTAAGGATTTTACATGGTAATAATAATATAAATTATTTACAAAAAGACTTTTTTTTATTTAATGATTCAAATAAACACCTAAAGCTAAAATAATGTGTTTTTCCAATTTATTTATAATATGAATTTAAAACTATAATAAACAAAGTTATAAAGTTATAATTTTGTTAATGCATAAAACCATTTAAAAATAATTATTATTAAATAATTATTATATAGTTTGAATACACTTAGGCTTTTGGTAATTTACGAGTTCCATGATATCTTATTAACCTATTTTTCCCCCAAAATAGGCGCCGCTCACCAAAGAAATCCGGAGGCGGTGGAGGCTGCAAGGCGCGTTTATCTTCAGCGGAGGCTTCCGAAGAGAAACTCAACCAAGAGGCTTTCCGTTTGGCCAGGACCATCAGAAATTTGCTGCACACCTCGGAACAACAACCGGATCTCACGCAGCCGCGTCACTCGCTGGCCTCCATTTCATCGCTGCCTTCGGGAAATCATCGTTTGTGCAAGGGAAAAACCAGTTCGGTGATGACGCTGCTGACGCCGCCATTGCACAATTCCACCAGCATCATGGATGCCACACTGGCGGCACCATCGCCGGCTGCCAAATCCAATGCGGAACTGATCTTTCTGCGGGCCAACAACATGAGGGACTCGAGGCTCTCGCTGCGCAGCTCCACCGACAGTTCCGTGCATTCCACCATCTCCTCGACGGCCTCCTCTTCCTCGAAAGTGGAAACGGATGAGGAGAGCCAGAGCAACAATAACCACAACAATACGACAACCACCGCCAGCAATGCAGCCATCAGCAATAGTAATATAAAACCCACCAGCAGCAACAAGCAGAGCGGTTCCAGCACCGAAGATGAGAGTGGCTTCAGTTCGATTAGCTCCTTTCACGACGTGGGCTTGCCATTGAGCTCCACCCTGATGAATGGCAACCAGAGACGCCCTTCCATGTCCTCGGACAGCAGAAACTCCACACTGAAATCGGGCTTGAATATGGTGGGATTGCCAATGCAAACCCAGACTCAAGTTCAAGTCCAGGTTCAAGCTCAGATTTCCACCAGTCAATCGCCATCGAAAACATTTCGTAATGCGAATCGCTATCAGCGCTTCTCCACTCTATCAAACGAAGATGCAGCTGCTGTTTTGTGGGTCTAGACACGTGGATATCTTAAGGTTCAAAGCCACACTGAAAAGATATTATTAATCTGCTGCTAGACTCTTAAAGAAGCCCCTCGAAAATGGATTTGAAAAGAGGTCGAAGCCTTTATTTAATTTTGTATACCCCCGTAGTTTCTCAGTTTTGTTTTTCTCTAGTGCCTCCGCTCAGTTTTAAGTTGATCACTTTTAAAAGAGTATATAATGTTTAATCTATATGTTATCATTTTATTTTTTTAAGGACCAAGCGCGCATTTCTATGTTAACAACATGTAAATTTCATTTATCCTAAGTTTTGCAGTATTTATAAATAAATAAAAGTAATTTATATTATAAACCAGCACAGTTAACTTGTTGTTCAACGTCAAATGGCCTGAAAGTCATTGTTTAAAAACCTTCATTTCGATACGTTTCGTTTAGGACTAAGAAAAATGTGCTAAAGTACTTTTGGTTACCCGTTTTCAATTTCCACTCGAATCGTGACTAAATTCGTTGAGACCGCAGCCCTTGAGGTCTACATATAAATTAAGCTACTCTATTTATAATAATGGCCAGTGCACAAGTGCAGAGCTTAGAAAGTGCTGGCTTTGAGGGGCATTCAAAGGATTTAATAGGGCAGGAAAACCATCAGCAGCAGGAAGATGCCCCTCAAGATGGCCAGAATCATGAACTTATCGATGAAGACTTGTATGAAGTTCAGTACAAGCATCCTTTGGAGCATGTGTGGACTTTATGGTATCTGGAGAACGATCGCACCAAGCACTGGAAGGACATGCTGAACGAGGTCACTCAGATCGACAGTGTGGAAACCTTCTGGAGTCTGTACTATACAATTAAGACGCCATCTCAGCTTAAGATTGGATGCGACTACTCCATGTTTAAGCGGGGCATAAAGTATGGCAAGATTATAGTTTGCTTCTCTGTACCTTATAGTAATCCTTTCTCTGCAAGACCCATGTGGGAGGATGAGGCCAACATCAAAGGAGGTCGCTGGCTAATCACGGTGGGCAAAAGTGGCAAGCTGGACTTGGACCGCATTTGGCTAGATATTCTCCTGATGATGGTGGGCCAAACTTTCGACTACTCCGATGAAATCTGCGGTGCTGTGATCAACATCAGGGCCAAGAGCAGCAAGATCTGTGCGTTTCCCAAGTTTATTTCAACCAAATAGATTTAATAACTCTTTGTTACAGCCGTTTGGACTGCTAATGGCAACAACGAGCTGGCCATTTTAGAGATTGGCCAAAAGCTAAAGATGCTCTTACATTTTCAGGCGCATAATTTGCAATATCAACTTCATTCCGATGCAATGTGCAAAATCAGTTCGGGTGTCAAATCGATTTACACACTGTGAAAGATAGTGATCAGGTCCTCTACGTTATTATATTTTTATATTCACCAGATTCGTGTGTGTGTGTGGAAGATGGTATGGGCTTGGTGTTTATGAAAGAATAATTGGAAATGAGTAAACCAAATTGTTTGAGGAACTAAATTAAATAAAGAAAATTGAAATATTTTTCACCTTTCTTATTGAATATCTTTTGAGTTCGTTGCCTACTTTGACGCTCAAAACTTTTTGAAATAAAAAATGGCGTTGACTTTAAAATAATTTTCTTTAATGATTGGTTCATATATTAACTTAAAAACATCATCATGCTTCGAATGCATTACGACTTAGGGTCGTAGGTGCCTACTCAAGCAAAATCGTTGAGTTTTAATCAATATAGTAAGATAGGTTTTTAAAAAATTTACTCAGTAAACATTCACAGCTTGTTGCGGTGTGGCGATCATCCGACCGAAACCCATTCGAACCGATCGTTCGGTGCGTGCGTGAATGCGATCTCTAGTCACTGCAATGAGTAGTTGGAGTTGGTTACATTTAGCGACGCGACACAATTATTCGGGCACGGGCGTACACATATGGAGAACTATTTACAAGTCAATCATGGTCAATCGATAGCTCGGGCAAACGCTTCAACATTCGCGAGCTCCACATCGACAGTTGCAACTTAACAATACATTTTACAATCTAAACAATATTGGACGCGTGATAATTTGTTTCTGGTTTCTGGTTTTGTTTTTTTTTTTTTTTTGTGAGATTACGAATTCGAAGGTTGCATCAGCGCTCGGACATGGGCCACCCATGACCAAGGAAATAGCACTGCAGACGAGTCGTCTCCCTTTCTAAGAGACTTCAAAAATGGAATACACAAATTGACTGCGGAATCATCGACATCGACAACTCTAAATGCGACCCACAACTGCCTTGTTTTTCCGCGTGGGTTGCACGGAAAGTGGGGGCACTACCAGCATCTCGGACTGCGTTGACGGCGAACTACTCCTCATGCTGGCACAGTCTTCATCGTCAACCTCCTAGAATAATATAATTGAGCATTAGTAGTTGCTAACTTGGTTTCCCTTTTTCTTACTCACATTTATATTCGTGCAGCTGGCCAAACGCATTTGTGCCAATTGAGAAGCGGGCGTCAGCGAGTTGGTGCTGCCAAAAGGCGAGGTCATCATCGTAGACACGGCTCGTTTCAGCTTGTTGGGCGTCTTGTTAAAGGAAAAGGCTCGACCAACCTAGGTTAGAAAAATATATATTTAAATAACAAATGTTTACAATTGCAATTCAATTTCAAGAACAACCTTTAATCGAGTTTTGGCAGCCAGTTTGAAGGCCTTGCTCAGCGTGCTGACATTCACATCGCTAATGTCCACCTCCAGTTCCTGGGAGGTACGACAAATCAAAAGTTTGTCCTGTAATATAAAAATAAGCACATAAATTAAAGGCTCAAAAGCTACGTTATAGAGTTGGGACCCAAAACAAGAGTTTTGCAATATAAAGTGTTCTTTTAATAGTTACTACTTACAGCATCTGTTCGGCACGTGTGAGCAGCAATTTGGTTGCACAGTTTCTTCACATACACCGACTTGTCGGTCTCCTCGTCGCTGATCGTAAACGTATATAGCTTTTCCTTTTCACCCCGCAGGAGCAATCCAAAGGCCCGAGGACTATCCGATATATCAATCACTAGCCGTATCGTGTTCAACGATATCAGCTTGAGATGCTTATGCGTCTTGGCCGTGCTCGGTGATTTGGCGGTATTGAATCCTCTGGAACGCCGTTTGCAAAGCTCAATGGAATCGGAGAAAAGGTACAGGACCAGGCTATCACCACGACCGCTCAGCGAGTCGGAGAGCTCGTTCACCTCGCATTTCAAGATAAAGCTGCGATTGGAACTCACTAGATGCGCTGGACAACCGTCGATATCGTTGAATATATCAAAGATGGCCATGCGCGACTCGGTGCGCCTTTTGTCCTCGTTGATGTGCAGCGTCACCTGTTTGATGGCCTTCAGTGCCTCCTCCAACCGGCTGTGATCCGCATTGCTATTACCTGTGTGCTTCAGGATATCGTTCAACAGGAGACTAATGCTAGGCAATCGCTGCACCGGTCGGATCATGAGATCCTGTAGGCCTTGACGACCACACTCCGGCTTCGTCTGATTGATTTTGAGGAAGGCATGGAAGCGGGGATACTCCCGATCGCAGTACTGCAGTTGCTCCTTCATTTGCTCGAAGAAGTTAACGTACGGCGGATAGGCCTTGATCAGCTCATCGCGGTGCTGGATAATAATGTCGCCAATCAGACAATCCTCTCGCCAGTTAGCATGCAACTTGCGCAGGTGCTCCAGCATGCTCTGATGCACCTCATGGATGGGCAGAAAGTTGCCAAATATCGTCTTGATCTCGGACTTGTTAAGCAGTGGATCATTGGTCTCGGCCAGCTCCTCCAATTTATTTTTAAAGAGCTGCAAGGATAGGAAATAAAAAAGTATATGAATGAAAATGTAAAACATTTATTCATCTTATCCCGAAACCTACATTCAATATGGTATCCAATATGCCCACATAGTTGGACTCTGTGGTGAAGAAGTCCATAAAATGGTTAAAGCGCATCGATTTCTTGGCTGGCGTGGTTTCACTCGCCTCCGGCTCGGCATGCAAAAGCTTTTCCGCCTCCAGTTTATCCGGGCTGGTGGTGCAATCGAAGAAACTATTCGATACGGACAGTAGACCGGCATCCGAGACGGAGGAGCGTCGCTTTCCAGAGCCCAGAGGTGTGCCCTCCAGCTGTATGCGTTGCGAGAAACGCTTGCGTTTCCGCTTGTTAAAGCTAATGGGTAACGAGTCCCGACGATCCGTATTGGGGGTATTCGTGATGCTGTCCAAATACTACAATATATAACGAGCAATTAAATTAATATCAGCAGATGACCATTTTGAGTGGGATGCACTTACGTCGCCAAACAGATAGTCCATCTCATTGGCATAGCCATTCTGTATGGTATACCAGAACCAGTCTGATTTCAGGATGTGCGTATGATTATTCTTCGGCTCCGGCTTCGACACAGTCGTGTGCTCGTCAACCACCTGAACGGCAAATAAATCAAGACGATTAATTCCAATGATCCACCGTTTAGTATTTGAAAAGAGATGCGGCGGAATGTGCTAGATCGCAAAAAAATGTTTTGTTTGCTGCCTAATTTAGATTATACGAAACGTAGTCAATCAAGCGTCTATATAGATGGTATATATAGAGAGAGATATAGCTCGGCACAGCAGCAGCAAGCACAATAAATTTCGAACACATTTATCAAATGCAAAAAGGCCAAACAAAACATTTTTAGTGCACATTTTTGGCAGCACTTTGAAACGGCAAAGATCTTAGGCAAGAGTGTAGAGTAAAGCTACGGAACATGAATGCAAATTGTTTTTTGCCCCGAGAACGAGTAACATTTGTGTAAATATTTGTTAGTCCATTGAGAAAATAAAAATTCACCCAAATGCGAAGGAATCGCTCGTGCTAGACGGCTTAAGGTTTGCTCGATTCTATTCTTCTCTCCATTTATTGTTTCAATTTATTTATCTACGTTGTTTTCATGTGGCATTTTTAACATTTATTCAAGCTGAACGAAAGTCTATAACCAAAGTGTGGGGAGTGTGTGTGTGTGTGTGTGTTTTGTGTGTTGCGTGTTGCAAATAAATGTTATTTCAATATTTATTGTGCTGCTTTGTTTGGTTGTCTTTTTTTTGTACTTTGTGCGCCGGCCAGAAAAAAAAATAGTGAGTAGACCATAGGAAACCAAAGTTATTTACAGAAGAAATTCCAGACACCGCACCAAATTAGATGTTTTATGAGTTGTGACTTAAGCTACGGCATAACCATTAAATAACAATTAACATAACATTTGGGATGGAAGGAGGCTGGATGATGGATGGCGGGAGGATTGAGGAAAATCGCGTCGTACAGCAACTGAAATAATGTTAAAAATGCTCGAAAATAGTTTAATGAACACAATGGAAACATGGAAGTGAGTTGAATGGCTTATGGTTTTCTTCATAACCATTAGATGCTTGAAAAAAATGTAGTAATGAAAAAGAAACATAGAGAAAAATCGCAGTACTGAATCTTAGGTAACGAAAATTTTAGAATTATAGAATAATTAGTCTTGCGAAAAACTTGCTTAAGCAAATTTGTTTTGTCGCAAGGAAATGTTAAAACTGTTGAAACACATTTATTTTCTGAATACTAAAATAAACAACTTTTCTAGAAACACTCAGCCTAAGAAATATTATTATTCGAACTGCCCAAATTTTAAATTTTTTTTGCCGTTTCAATGTCTGCCAAGTAAAAGATCCTTAAGAGAAAACACTTGTGAATTTCAAATGTACCATTGGCATGGGCTCTTCTATGGGGCCGGGGCTTTGATGCCTCGCTGTCGACTCTTCGGGTGACTTAATTACTTGCACCGAGCTATGTACAGCGATCGAAGTCGATAATATGGGAGATGATGACGATACCGATGATGATGATGGTGGCATGACAGGCGTGACGGCAGCAGCACAGAAAGCAAATGTGTGGGTGGAGGTATCGTTGACATCCAAACTGACAGTGGGATTAGGATTGGGGATGGGGTGCATGGTGGGTGTGGGCGTGGGCGTGGGTGTGGAGGGGTTGGTAAGGGTCAAAGACGAAACAACGCCGGAGACGGGGCCGAAGAGTCGCTTGGCTGTTTTGGGCGTGGCCGTGGATCGGAGCTTGGGTGCCTTGGGGGTCTTGAAACCACTGTCCAGGATGGTGGAACACTCCGGAGTGCCATCCACACCTCTATCGGTTCTACGACTGCTGCTTCTGGTTATTCTGCCGCAAAAGCTGCGCAGCTTCTCTTTGACTGGCTTCCTGATGGACTCATTGAGCGTCAAATTAATGGAGGAGGCTAGTGAGCTAATGGAATTGTCGGCTGCCTCGCTGCCGATGAAACTTGAAGCATCTGCCACAGAGCTTCTTCGTGGTCTTAAAGTTTTCATAAGCGGTTCGGCCACAAAGCTCACCGATCGTCGAAGGGTCCTCGAAATGGATCCCGTGCGTATGAGTTTGGGTTTCTTGGTGCTCGTTGGCAGGGCAAAAGAATCCACCGACATCAGGGACACATTGTCAAAACTATCCCTCTTGCGTTTTAGATCATTCTCTGAAGCTGGCAGATCATCGGTCTCCAGATCACACTCGTCAATGGCTTTTAGTATGGGGGAAATGTTCTGAGTGGTGCTTTCGAAATCCAAAGGATTGCCATCCATTTCGGGTGAACTAAGTGGCGTGGCAGCTTTTAGGCTTGTTCTTATTTTGCTGGTCTTTGGCGTGCTGGCCTGGACATCCTCTTGCTCTTGCTCATCCTGTTCTTGAAGCATCTCCTCCACTTTGGGCTTCTGCTCCTCCACCAAGTCTTCTTCGTCCGATTCAGGCAACTGATCATCTCCTGGATTTCGTATGTCCGCTGCCTCCACAAAGAGGCGTTCGTCAAAGTGTATGTCATCTTCGTCCTCAATGGCCTGATTCTCTTTTTGTTCCTGCTCCGGATTAACATCCAGTGCCATTGCGTTGCTCGCCTCTGTTTGGGATTGTTCCTCTCTTCTGATTTCAGCCTGCTCGAGATCCTTGGCCTGCTGCTCCTCTTCGCCCTCCGCCTGCGACGCACTGCTGCCTGGGATTTGGGATTCGGTTGGGTTAGTTTGGGTGCTTGGGTTAGTATCTGTGCTAGTGCTAGTGCTTGTAAATACTGCGCCCGTATTGGGCATCACCTGGAAGACACACGGATTAGGTTTTGCGAATAAAAAAAAATCAACTGCTTGATGCAGCAAAGTATGTATATACAAAAATTAAGGTAAGAGGCATGCAAACTACAAAATCCAAACTACCCAAAAAGCTTGCATTTTAGCATTTAGTAATTGTAAAGGCTGACTCACGACATGCGAGCACTCCGGATCGTCGAGTTCGGCGCAAACGCCACCATTCTCCAAAAGTACATCCACCATGTGTTGATGCTCCTCCGCAGGGAATCCAAAGAAACAGATCTTCTGACCCTCGAAGGCCTTCAGGCGATGCGCCTTGGTGAAAATCTCCTGCGTGGCGTCGAGTTCCAGCGAATTGCGATCCGCCCACGCGGCAAACACCCAAGCAGGACGAACCACGGTCAAACGGAAAGTTTTGGCGTACCTGTAAGGAAAGCGGTTAGAATTAAATAAGAGTTCGACATGAGATTTTAAAAATCAATTATATTCCAACTACTTATTGGTTACGCTGGATTTATTTCTAATTTTAGGACAAATTTGCCTTATTCTTGAGCCTTTCATACAAAATGGAAAGTCAAGGAATTTAGTTTTATGAGCATTATGAGCATTATGAGCATGGTTTTAGTTTAGTTTAGTTTAGAACTCACTGGTACTTTTCGCCGCCACTGTGATTGCAAATCAGATGCGTGGTCTTCGTGTTCAGGTCCTTCTTGATGCAGCCGCCCATCGAGTGAATAAGGTTAACCAGCTTGGTCTTTGAAATAAACATTTTGGAAAATGAGCAATAATTTAATGGTCAGGAGAGGAGACTCCCCAGCGAGCCACTCACCAGCTCATCCTTTTTGCGTATGCCCGTGAAGCAAGTGACCACGCCGCGCATCGCGTAGTTGTAAATGGGCCGCGAATTCTGGCCCAGTGTCTGTTTCATCTCGGCCGCGTACTTCAAAGCCGGCGGTCCCAGAATGCTGCAAGTGATATAAAGGGAGAGACAATTAAATATTTATGTGGCACACTTTTGAGTTATGCAAGGCAATCTGGCTTTTATGCCCCAATTGACCTTGGCAGTTGCAGTTGCAATTGCTGTTGCTGATGCTGTTGCTGTTGCCATAATTCAATTCGAATTGGTTGAACATCGCTATCTTCTTTGCCCGATAGCATTCCGGACACAAATGATTTCGAGTGCTCGACGCGTTTCGCTTTATTGAACTTTGACTGAAGAACCATCCACCCATCTGACTAAGGGCTCTTTTGTTTATCATTCCGGACATCGACAGCCGTTGGATGGGCAGCCCATCCTCAAGCCTTCGCAGCCCATCCGCATCCCAACTGGCAAAAGCCGGAAGTTTTTATAAACAAATCAATCGAGCGGAAGCTGACTGCAGCCTGACATGTCGAGCATTGTTTGCCACATTTTGAATGCACTTTGTGGGCGTAGGGGACGTATTTATGATACTTAAAATGTGTACAATTATTTATGTGCGGCTCATCAAGGCACAATTATAATTACGGCCAGGGGAGTCGAAAACAATTTGCGGTGCATGCATTGAGTAATGCTTTTAATTTTGGTAACAATTTATGAATGATTCTTCGTAATGAATGGATAGAACTCAACTGTGCGCCATAAATTTATATTTTTAAATAGGAATTTTAATCTTGTGGGTAAAGCAATCTATTATTAGCAATAAATTGGTTTTATATGTTTTATTTAGTAATTCTTTGCAAATTCCAGAGGGAATTATATGAGAACTTAAAGCAAATTAATAGGAAAACCTTGCCGGCCAAATCTTGGATCATCGAAGGTAGAGTGTTTTTTTCTTTATAAGGATAATCACTACATATTGATATTGTACCGGATGTTTTCGATTTATCTTTGATTTTCTAAAATGCTTATAATACCACTAACTCACAATTTCCAACTTTCTTTGGTTGTGTTCTCCCCTCTCTCCATTTCCATTATCACTTGATATTTCACTTTCAAAGTCTTTTCTCAGGTTGACTTCCTGTTTTTTTTTCTTTCACTTTCACTTCTTCTGTCTCATTGAGTCTACTATCATATCATTTTACATTTGCATTTACACATTTCACCCACATTTCAGGCTGTTAGGTTGACTTAACCTTATCAACAGAGGAAGAATTCCATATGCACAAATATTTGTCGCGAACAAACGAAACGATTTTGCCTGATTCAGGGTACCAGAATATGAATAAGTTAAGACATATAGCCGAAGAGACCGAGCGACATGAGTTTATGATTCTATCCGGGCAACTAAACAAACACAACTGCCAGCCTCGTTGCTTGGGAAAATTATTGAATAAACGATGGGGCGGCAGCGAGCGAATGGAAAATGGAAATAGAAAATGCCTGACATGCCAGGCGGTCCACCCTCTCGACTCCTCATCTTCTGCTCCTCAATTTTCCCCACTTTCAGCTCGTTCTCTCCCCATCACTTAATGTGGCACATAAGTGGCAAATGCTATACAGGCGTGATATATTCCTATAAGAAGTGCAAACATCTCTCTCAGTTGGAGAATGTGAGATTTACAGAGAAAAATTGTATGATCGATTTTAGGATGACTTCAAAAAAAAATATATCAGGAACTAAATATGACAAATATAAAACAAAATCTTTTCACTTAAATTTTGATCAATTTTAAGTTCAGTTGGAAATAATATTTAATATTAATTTTTATTGTTCTTAAAATATCCGATTTGATAAATAATATATGAGATTTAAAACTTATTTGTTTCTTATTCTTATAAAACCAAGCTATAACAGAAATACATATTAAATTCTTCCTGTTTTTTAAACCAGAAAAAAAATTACAATATTTGAACTTAAGTTTGACATTTTGTTTTTCAATTCCTTAGAATACTATTTTTTCTGTGTAGAATAGAAACGACTGTGAGAGAGAGGTGACAGTAAAGTAAGCAATCAAACGGAGACAGGTGAAATGCAAAGAGAGTTGAGCCAAACAAATATTTAAGCAGCAGCGGGAAAAGAAATGAAATTCCACAGAACAATTAAATATTTCTCTTCGAGATCCAAGGAAAACCCAGGAAAATTGTGCTGCTTAGTCAATGCATAAAAATGCGCCGCGCGTGCTCGACAACAATATATGTATGAGATGATCGGAATGGAGTAGATCGGGGGATCTGGGGGTTTTGGCCTCGACAATGGATGATCTCTGCCATCTTTACAAACGGGCGATTCTTTTGTAAAGTACGCCGATCTTTGACTGAACACGGGGCACTCGAACTTTGCGAGGGTCAGAACTATAGAACAGTCAATGACATGTCGTTGGCGGACTCTTTCTCGTTCTGCCTCAATTAATTCGCCATATCAAAAACTTATAAATTATATACTCGCTCGCAGATATACAATAAATATTTAAATATATGTAAGCAAAGCAGAGCACACATCATATAAATGCCTCAATAAAAACGCATAAATTCTGATTTTTTGTTTTTTTTTTTTTGTTTTGCGATTTGTTGTATTTATTTTTATGGCAAAGAATTTCCGTTTTTTCACAAACGTTGCTTTCAACACTTTCGACTTTATTTGACAACGCTCGATCTGAATATACACGAATTCCAATAGATTCTTGGCGCCAAGAGATTGTTGCAATGCCACCTCCTCAATGTGATTCAATGGAAACTTGGCCAATGGCGACAGAGACTTCGGCTTCCCAAGAGAAGTCCCCAAGAAATTCACACAAAAAATAATAATATTTGAAATAAATACAAACAAAAACGATTCATTTCAGTTTCTGTAGAAGAAATACTATTTGAAATTGTCACGCAAGCGGTTTATTTGTTTATATGTTTAAGTTGATTTTCATTGTCAATTCGCCATGTCCCCAAAATAGGCAATGAAATGTTTTCAGTCTTCCCCCATTATGCGAATGGATCATTTCTATGAATCAGAATATATATCCATGCTGGGAACAACGATTAACAAGATCTTTGTGGCATCATTTTGGGCGAGGTTAAGTGGCCGTTAAAGTGCCTCCGGTCATTCTTTCCACTTATCTGGGATTTCTGAGAATATCTCATTAAAATTTCTTCGGTTTCCCATTGGGATTTGTGTACTTTTAATCAGAACTGTTTTTCTTTTTTTGCAATCAAATGTAGTGTTTCTTGAACTAATTAAACATTTTTTTTTGTAAACAAAGTAATCGTAGGAAAATTCACACCGTTTATGAGTTGGATAAACAATTCTGTCAATTGTTTTTTGTATAAAATAAGTTTATATTCCTGAGATTGTTAATTAATCTTCAATGATCAAAGGACATTATTACCATCCCATTAAATTAAAAATGGTCTGCATATTTATTTATTTTAAACTTTGTCAAAACAAAGAAAATCGTTTCATAGGTTATATAAATTTTAATGATCAAATTAAATACACCTGTACTAAAACAGTCACGATTTATTCACATCAGATGACAAAAACAAACTCGGGAACTGCATATTTATTTAAAAAATAAACAACTTACGTTGCAAATAAATTTTCTACGTAGTTTTTCTAAGCGATAAACAAATTCCAACTTAATTCCAGTTTATGTTTTTCTATAAGCGGAAATCAATTAAATTTATAGATGGAAAACTAAAATAAAAAATGTGAAACATGAAATATAATTAGCCCAGAGGAAAAACAACCTCAGCACCACCTCAGCATTGTTTTATTTTCCGCTCATTTAGCGAGCAAAGAAAAAGTGTTGAACAACAAATACAAATCGCAATAACAAAACGAACTGAAACATGAATGAAAATCTATGAAATAAATAATAATTCTTAATGGGGGGAGAACAAGCTTCTTTTTGGCTATTTTTCTTCGTTTCGCAGTTGCCTTTTTCCTTACAAGCAAAGCGTGTTGGTAAAACATGAAACGGAAAACAGACGCCCAATCGACGCCCACCCCTTCAAGTCACAACAACTTTTAAACGCATTTGGTGACCTCCAAAAAAGCTCGTAAATAAATGCTAACCAAAGTATGGCAAAGTTATGGTTTATCACTAATGAGACAGGGCAGAGGTTGATCCCCACGAAAAAAGTCGAAAAAAGGGGGGAAGAGTTTGGGGGTGGGATCCAAAGCGTGCATGTTATTTAAGGCTATTACTACGCAGCAGGCAAATTAATCAAGCGTGCAAAAATTTCAAGAACAGAACCAAACAGAACCAGACCGAACACATATAGAGCAGATGAGCAAACATTTGCGCAAGTTTCAAATTTGACAACAATTTGTAGCAAGTGAAAATAAATTGCAAGCCCATTTCGTCATGCCGAAGTTGGATGTACCCTTAATGTTTTATTGCTCACTTTTCTTTAACTGATTTCATTGAATATCTATACATACATCTGCATAGAGTGACTAAAATATATTTTGACTAAGATAAATAAAAATGTAGGACCTTTAAAAATTTATTCTTATTTAACTCTTAAGTGGCAAATTTTTATGATTTTTCTTGCTAATTTTAAAAGTTGTTTGAGCAATAAAAGACTGTTTATGTAAACAAAAGAAAGCAGGTGTAATATTTTCGTGTTCTTCCCTGAAAATGCATTCGAAGCCAACACTCTAATTAATTTTTTTTGTTTATGCTAGAACAAAATTGTTCATACAATAATTTTTCTTATTGCAAACAGTAAAGCCTATGGCCATAATCGATACAGGTGTTATTTATATTAGTTTATGTACATTTTCCTGGAAATGCAATCGAATCAGACATTTGTTACTACAGACAAATTTAGGGCTAAACCACTGCAGTTATAACGTGTTTGTTTATTTCTAGATATTAAAGTATAGCTGGCGCCCTGAATAAAGGGTATTTAAAACCAAAAAAGAAGAAGGCAGAATGGCTGACTGGTATATCTGGCGCATGGCTGACGCTGTCAATCTTAGAATTGGTGGCTAACGGAATGGATCCAGAGGGGGAAATTGGAGAGGAGGCGGTATCCCCGTGCGTGTGTCTCGATTTCAAACTCAATTTGCTGTGGCTCAGCATGATGGAGGCGATGATAATGGCTCTTGACTGGGCTCCTCATAGCCAAAAAGTGGGTTGGAAAAAAAAACAAAAAAACGGGGGGGCGGACAGCTAGCCACATGTGACAGATTTGTTCCCACCCGTTTTGTCTAAATTAAGCAGCCTTCTTGTGCTTCGGCTTTTGCCAAGTTATTATTAGTGCCAATGACTAGTAGTACTCACCATTCCTTCTGCTTATGTATCGCCTCAAAGCTGGCACCCTCGAAGTCGTCGAGCACGTAGAAGGTCCGCCAGTCCGACTCCCCGATGATATCGAGACCCGTGTCCGAAGTGACGATGGGCAGGCCAAAGGATTCGGCTGCCCGCAGCGTGTCCGCATCCTGGCCAACGCCTCCCACCAGACAGATTCGAGTGGGCAGCGCTGTAATGGACATCTCTGGTGGGCGAAACAAACGAAAGAAAAAATTAGAAAATCAAAAGCAAGCATTTTAACTCAAAAAAAAAATAGTTTGGTGTTAAGTGCATGTCAGACATAAATAAAGCAAATAAATGCAGGTCGATACAGAATATCGAATAGAAAAGTACCTGCTTAATTTTTGAAATTGATCATTGGTAAAGTAAACCATCAATGCACTTTACAGCCCAAATCCTTTTTATTAACGTTTCCCAGCAAAATTAATTCTTACAAATTCCTAAACAAATAAATATTAAATTCACAGGATGCGCTATTATTTCCCGATATGTGTAACATTCGCCACTCAACAACCCGTACACCTCCAACTCGTTTTTGTTTACAGGGGACTGGAAAAAAGATTTGGTTTGATTTATGACTATTTTGTGGATTTGTTTGTTTATGCAACGGAGTGTGCGAGACAGCGAATGAGATCGAGCGAAAATTGTGCAAAATAAAACAAAGAAAATGGACGAAACAGAGCAGAGCCACTAACCAAAATAGAACCCCTTGAGGATGTAGAGATGTAGGATGGGGGCCTGGTCAGCAGAATCCCCAGGAATGTGCTGTCGATCGTTAAGCAGCCAAATTGTGAGCTGTTGACATCAATTTTAATTGTGCCGATTTCTTAGTGGCCAAAAAAAAAAAGCGACCTTCATAGTTTTTGACACACCACGAAAGTAGTGTGTGCGAGATGAAAACAACGCAAAATACTAGGGCTAGAAAATGTTTTCAAGTGCAAATCATTTACCCCCAATCGACATGGACACAACACATGGAAGAAGGCCACAGACGGCGGCTTTGTTGCATTAATTTTATCCAGAATTGTGCAGCTGTAACCGATGCCAATTGCATCTATATATCTGTACACCAGCACTTGTATCCGTATCTGTATCTGGCGAGACATTCGCCACTTGTGCAATTGAACAAAGTCCAGGAACTGCAGAAGAAGAACTGCAGTTCGTGTCGTACTCTCTCTGACGTTCGGAATTTGTAGATAGATATTCCAGATATGCATTCCCCAAACAAGCGATAAACAATGCAATTTACCTAATGGAAATCGGTGGGATTTATGAACTAGCAAAAGGTTTATTAGACAAAAAAATCAAATAAATGTGGAATCTAATAAAACTTTTGATATGGAATTCGCACCCTGGGAATGCAGAATTTATGGATAATTAAAATGAAAACATCTTAAATATGAGATGTTTACACCCTTTAATACTTTGATCTTCTTTTTTGATTTATTAACTCCGTTTTAATAACATTTTCTGCCATAAAAAACACCAACGCTTGTTTTTTTAAGTTCTGCGAAGTAATAAGATTATCATTTATTCGTTTTCAACAAAAAACTACATGGCTGAATTAATACTAATATAGTTATCTATTTCAAAGCATTGTTTTGATAGTGATTTAATACACCTTTTCCACGAACGACATTTAATGTTTTCCTTAGAAAGTATTACAGTTGCTCAAGAAATTTTCGCTAATTTTCCTGTTCCTGCACCTTTTTCAAGTGTTTCTCGATTTCTGGATGATTCACGAAAGCCTGTACCCTACTTAAATTTCCCTCTCGTAGAAATAATATTTATTTTTTTGCGTTTTGCGAATATTCAACCCTTGAAATTTGTACCTGGAGGTTGATCTGGGTCTCCCTAAATACCTGTAAAATCCTCGTACACCTGACACAAGGCAGCCTGTCGGAGTTTCGCCTGCTTGACTTCCTCGGCGGTGGCATATGTGAAATATGAGGCGGATTGTCGCTGAACCGTGACCAGTTCGCTGCTCTTTTTGCCCAAGTGCTTTCCATAGTTGAACTGAACAAGCGGTAAGTGCAACATTTTGCACGAAGATCCTCAAGGATCGGGCTCTAAAACATAACTAAATGCAAGACGGGCTCAGAGAACCCCTGAAATCGCGTTTTGCATAGCCACAGGTGGTTACAAAGGTTGATAAGAAGGTAAGGTTTAGCAAAATTTCCGATATATGGGAAAACTGCAGAGACTCACAGGTGGCGGCCACCATTTTGCGCCATTCGGGAATTTCCTTTCTGCCTGAGCAAAATCCGCTGTTGTTTCTTTTCTGCTTTTCCTCGCTGGCTGCCTGCCAGAAACATGATGAAAACCTAATTGAGTGGCATCTGAGAAATGAAAGCCATCGGAAGAAGAGGGCTGCTTAGGTTTTTTCGGCGGTCAGCCTCTCTACACAGAAAAAATGTATATCTTTTCAATCACTTACAAAACTAATCGGTAAATGTCACAAGCGAGTTACATTTTTAAATGGTATTTATTTTGAGCTTAATTACATTTGAATATATAATGTTTTAACATATATTTAAATGTGATTATAATTAACCAACAACTAAAAATCTATAAATCTGAAGTTTGTATTCATATATTTAGAAGTTTAATAACAAATAAATAAACTATTAAATAACACAATTATATGTTATATATTTGTAGTATGTCCTAATAATTAAATACCAACAAAACATATTATTTTATACTTTCAATATTAAATACCATATTTGAAACAATTAATACTTATCAAAAAATTATGTTAAGAGATGGCAGTGAACTGATTTCTGTCAGTGTAGCAGATTTTGTCAAACAGCACAGACTCATCAAAGAAAATTCTTGTAATAAAATTACGAATACCGCGGAAGCCTTGACGTAGGAGAAGATCGGATCCGAAGGTCTGCGAGGCATGTAAAATGCTATTAGCATTGAGGGACAGAAAAACAGGCTACAGAATATATAGTCATAGTTTTAGGCATGTGCGGCCTGTCAACATGTGTAAAAGGAACACGAGGCAATTGACCAGCGGGGTGGTAGGTAAATCACCCGGTAAAAACAGAAACGGTAAAAGCATAGACCAAGGATCAAGAACACTGGGCAAGGCGAAGGAAAGAGAAGGATAGGATGTTACTACCTGAGTTGAGTATAAGGACTGGCAGATATATGTACAGAGTTATCATCTGGAAATATTTCCAAAGTGGCTACATCTTCAAGCTAAACAACATCAAAGGGAATTTATTCATTGGGATGTTTTGCTGATTATAAAAAACCTAACCAAATTATAAACTTTTAATTGATATATGCCTTATTTGTGCCTCAAATAGACACAAAATACATTAAATGATAATTTTATTTGTATATGCCGCCATTGGAAAAATTCTTTTCAGACAACATATTTACACGTATTTTTTAAGGCAATAACCTTTATGTTTGATATGGCACTGTACGGAATTTATTATTGCTTGTTGGTTTTCGACCGGGTAACTAAAAGTTTCCAACAAAATATTTGCTTTTGTTTTATATAAGAACAAAGGAGCCGTTTTCCTCTTTAATGCTGATGCTGGGGAGTAGGTGAATATAATCAGGTTTTATAAGATTAATAAAATCTTTAGCCATACTGTGTTTTTATTTAGCTTTCTATCTAGCTTTGAAATTTTACAAATAAAGAAATATAATAAAACCCCTTCCAATAACTTGTTTTCAGTTTAAAGCACTTCTTTCTCACTTTAGTCGAATAACTTTATAAATTAGTTTGACATTACTTAAAAGCAGAAAAATAACAAAAACAGAACTAGATGATTTAGCTACCAAATTCCCTGGCTAGTAAAAAATCGTTAATGGCATCACTGATAACAGGAACTGCTCACTTGTGTTGTTGCCGCCAGTCCTTATTTTTACTCTCACAACAGTTAGGCGTCTCAGTTGTTGTTGTTTTGTCGGTACAGTGCCGGTTAAGAGAGGGACGGGAAGAGAAAAGAGCCAGTAGGCATTTTGCACACACAATTCTTTTTATGCGATAAATATTTTCTGCACCGAAATATATACAGAAAAAAAGATTAAAAATCGTCGACGCGATGCCTTGGTTTTTTAGTCACAAACATATATACATATATAAACGTGTACTTATAGTCGTATTTCGACATTTTTTATGAGGATCTTTTGGCCCCGACTGTGGTTTTCATCCCGCCCCCTTTGCGTCTCCCCCTTTAATTTTGGGCGACATTGAAAAATGAAATATTTGCGGGGTATTTGGACCTGCCACGCCCCTCCGGTACTCACCGCCCTTGGATTGCTCTTCAATGGTCTCCATTTCGATGGATCTTCTTTATTTTAAAGGCAATAATTCGGGGAACATTCACAAAAACACACGAACACAGACACACAATGGCAGTACAAACGCACAAGAAGACAATTAAATCGTTTGTACTCGATTCGTTTATTTATTTTCATTAACTCAGCGCTGTTTTTATGCATTTAGCGAGCATCTTTTTTGTTTTTTACAAATAACTCAATTAAAAAGCGGCGGGCAAAGACTGAATTCGTCACGCACACACACACGCGCAGGCAGCGTCGCCTTGTTTTTTTTTTTTTTTTTTTAATTTGTTCTAACTATTCCGCGTACCTATGTATGTAAGCACTTTAACTAACAATATGATAAACAATTGAAGGGGCACGCGTCAACGGCTGCGCGTCGGAATTACAAATCAAAACTCAACGGCCAAGCACGTCCGGTTGGTTTTCATTTTCGTTGTTGTGCCGCGCGGTGTGGCCATAGTGGGGGCGCCAAAAAATACCATCGAAAGGAGGTATACAAATACCAACTTCAGTTGACGTGGATTATGGTCACACATAGAATTTTCAAAAATATTTGTACACATCTGAATCAATTAATCTGTGGCAACTTTAATTGCATTTTGTAAAAAAACATTTCTCTGGCCTTGCTTAAAAATGTTTTACTTGTTCTTCAACTTTTCAAAACATTCGCTATAAAATAGTTAACTGACTAAAAATACCGCACCCAAAACATCGATAGCTGCGACCAGTGCTGCCACTCTTTTCGCACTTGTTGCTTTATCGTCACACACACCCCCACACACGCAGCCATTACGTCAATATGGCAAACAATCTGTCAAACGCGCAATTACAACAACAAACGTTCGCCCGCATTGACAGTTGGTCAATAGGTCCATACAGGATTTGCAGGGCTCGGTGAAGAGGTGTGGATTTTGGGAAGAATTTATCTGGAAAGGATTGGAAGCAGGCGCTCCGGAATCCAGGGAAAATGCTGCCCCAAACGCCGCCCCACGGATTGAAGGTAATGTCGGGGGCGGAAGAGAACCGACACTACCTGCGCGCCTTCATCCAGACATATAGGGATCTGCCCGTCCTGTGGGACACTTCTCTACGGGATTACACCAATCGGGAGAAGCGTGCGGAGGCCTATCTTCGCCTGGTGCCCATTTACCATTATCTCAAGAGGGACGCCACCGTGGAGGATGTGAAAAAGAAAATCAACACCCTGCGCACGAACTACCGCAAGGAACTCAAAGTGGTGGAGAGTGCCATGAGGTCGGGCAATCTCCACAGTCCCCGCTGTTGGACCTTCCAGGAGTTGGACTTCTTGCGCAACTCGGAAAAGTTCTTGGCCGTCAATCCCGCCTTCAAGAACGAGCCCTCTTTTGCCTTCAGCGAGGGTAGCAATTGCACCAGTGCTTTTCTAGACGGCCAAGGAGCTCCACTGCATTATCCAGCTTCTCGGCCAGGTGGACAAACCCCCAATATCTCCGAAATGTTTCACAAATCCTTTGGGCCTCCGCCGCCAGCACCGCCGCCAGCCAGCCACGTGGATTATGTGACCAACAAGCGGGCCAGGCAAACGCCACCCTGTCCGGGAGGTGGAACTGGACCTGCAGGAGCCTCTGGTAGCTCCCACAATAACGACGAGCTACTCAACATTGCCTGCGAGTATCTGGCGGGCACTTATCCCGAGGAGGAGTCCATTGCCCGCACCTGGACGCACAAACTAAAAAGATTACCCCGCGAGCAGCGACTCCTCGCCGAGCGCTTTATCAACGAAATCCTGTTCGAGGCCGAGTCTAACAATTTGCATCGCGGTTCCGTGCAAATCAACAACAGCTTCGAGCCCTACGTACGCTACGAGGAGCCGCCCAACGGGCACGAGGAGCAGGACAAGTCCCAGAGCCCAAGCGTGCACACCTCAAGCGAATCCAAGCCCAATGTTGGGGGTGGAACAGGAAGCGGCGGCGGCGGCGGCAGCGGCGGAGGAACAGCTGGCAGCACCACGAACGCGGGCATCAGGGAGTTCTAAATTTAATTAGTTACTAAGTGTTATTAAGTTTTTATTGGCCGAGGGATATATGGCAAATGACATAGTGTTAGCATAACAATGAGAATCAACAATAAATAAACCTGTAAATAAGATGCGAGTGTTGGAGCGGATCAGTCCAGTCGCTGGTAGTCTACCAGATTGCGGGTGAACCAGACGTAGGGCGAGGCGCCTGCCAGAAAAAGACAGGCGCCGATCACAGGACGATGCAGGATCCAGGCCACTGCCGCAATGGTCAAGGCCATCGAGAAGGCGATAAGCAGGTTGCCCGTCACCGGGAACTGGGGATCAGGGGCCAAGGCCACCAACAGGGGTACCCGAATAACTGGAGGTGAAAGAAAGAGACAATTTAGCATAAGGAATCTAGAAATAAGACAAGAAATCTTCCTGTCTAAATCATTCACTCTAAAACTGAGTGCCTGTACTTGAAAATGTTTTACATTTGCTAACTAATTTCTTTTTTAATATTTTTTGGTGATATTTTAATAGTTATCGTTCACTACTTTCTTACTTATAGATTTTTTTTTTGTGATATCGTAACAAAGAACTATATTAATTTGACGGACTAAGTTATTTGGCAGATAGCTTATAATTTTAATGACTATCTAGATCATTTAATCTTAAAAATTCGCGGTTTCCTTTTTCTGCGGACTTAAGAACTTGAGTTTAATTTTTAGATTTGTGCTACTATTTTTAGTTATCCTACAGATGGTACATTGTTATACGTTTGTTACAAGCAAACCGCATTTCTTTGAAAGAGTAAAAAGGTATAATAATTTTGAGAAATAGTTAGTAAAACTAATTTTGAAAATAAAATGGCTCATCTCGGACATTTTTACCGATTTTCAGAAAAACTTTCCTAAAAGATTCTAAATTTTACCTAAAGGAAACTTGTGGCACCCCTCTATTGTAAAAATCTTTTGAAACTCACACAGCAGTCGCAGAATTTTTGAGTTGCAGGTGACTCCGAAGAAGATGAGCAGCCAACCGACGAAGCGCCACCACCAAGTATGCAGCACTTGGGCTCGTGCCTCCAGGCGGAAAACCTCCTGGACACTGAGTCCTCCGGGATAGACGAGCAGAACCGGTACGCCCCGTGAGGTGATGTAGGGCACCAGTTTGTTTCCTGACAATTTGCCAACCACGCTGAACTCCTCGCCCTCCATTCCAGCGAAGCTAAAGAGGAGCCGCAAGTCACCCACCTCCGGATTGAACACATCATTGGTGTGGTAATAGATGCCCAGATGCAGCTTCACACTACTGTCCTCCGGCCGAATGTCCGACGTGAGCTCCTGGTAGCTACCGAACTTGTCCTTCACCTCAGCACCCAGTTCATAGCGACCAATGTAGACGGCATCGGCCACCTGGACGTGGCTCTCGATGGGGAAATGGCTGGGATTCGTGTGCCCGTGGCGGTTGTAAAAGTTCCGCGAGTCCACGATCTTGTCCCGCCATTCCCGCGTGTAGTAGTAAGTCCGCGAGTCCGATTGCGTCGTTCCCACGCTCTCGCCAAAGTTGTGCTCACTGAAAAAGAGTTCGAAATTTAGTGGGGTTTTCTAAAACTACAATCCCAACGGTAGTGTTCCTTATAAATACAGATACCTAAGGCACAAAAATGTCATTCTTTTTTTGTCATTTGGAAAATGTTTTTAATGCAATTTGAAATTTACAGATATTTTGAAATGATTTGGGAAAAAAAACATGTTAAAAATTAACAACATTTCGTATCTATAAGTATTTGTCTCTCTTTTTTTTTAAATTATAAAATATGTTAATTAATAATTAACAAATTCTCCTAACAAGACCCAAAAGAAAGGATCATCCCAAGTTGAACTTAATCCCTTGAAACCAACTTACACAGTCTCCTCGACCCACTGGTACATTTGGACGCGGCGGCGCAATTTGACCGCCAATAGCTGGATGTTGTAGTCCGGTTCAGTGAGCGGTTCGCCCACGAGGATGGGTCCAGATAGGTGAATGATCCTTCCCTCGAGACCCACTTCCTGTTCCTCCTCCGTGAAGCGCACCGAGTAAATGTCGGCGTGCGCTTCATCCAGTGCCATCATGTTGTGCACGGCGCGTCCTTCGTTCCAGTATAGCACTGTGCTACCGGCCACGAAAAGGATCAGGCCGAAGAGGGCAATGGGCCAGTGGCTACGGAGCGTTTCGTTCAGAGTGACCATGGGTACGGGTTTTCAGGATGTTTTCCATCCATCTGTGGAGAGCAGGCAATGCAATACAAAAATTCCTGCCCAGCAAAACAGCTGATTGTGAACAGTGTGACCGTGCGGCGCCAGCATGGAAAAGCTACTCTTGCAAGTCATTACAATATGCATAATTTAGTATGTTTTTTTATAAATCATGTGAAACTTTTACAAAAACATGACGTGGTAACACTGAAAGTCGCGGGAAGGAACACAGCTTCGCCAAATCTGGGCTTTCATTATAATTTCTGTCACACAAAGAAACACAGCTTCAAAGAAATCTGAAATGGATCGAATTTCACATCAATACATCAGCTCTGTAAATAATATTAATAAGGGAATCATGGAAATTCGTCTGCAAATTAGTAAGCTCGAAACGGAATTGAGATTTGCAACCGATGAAACCAATAGAAGAAGGATTTCGGACCAGATCAAGCAGTTAAAGGAAATGGATGAAAATTTTCAAAAGAAAATAAAGCAACGTGGAGATCTATTTAAAGCGCAAATAGGTGGTCAATTATGGATGTGACCTTGAGGAGGCGTGCTGTGCTGAGCAAAACTCCAGCTGAACTTCAAGTACAGGACACAACAAAAAATCAACTATACCGCAATCATAATGTATAGATTTCTTTGAGTAATAAAATAAATTTTGGATTTTATCAAATTATTGTTTTGAAGGACAATGTAGGTGCTTTAAATTTATGGGCCCGTAAATGTCGTAGAATTATATTAAGCTATAGCCTTTAATTTAAAGTGATCCCAGACCAATTGCATTTAATAATATTGTTTTAGTAATAATGTTAAAACTTATTTGCACACAACAAAGAATTTCATCAATAGCCGATGATTCATATTGGCTAGGCCACGAAGACAGATCAACGACCCTGCTCAAAAACAATACATATTTGTACTTCCCCTTCAATTAATGAGCGTCAAACTAGCGTAGGGGAATATGTAGCTATTGTGGAACGAAGTAAATTGAAATGTGAAAGCTCATTTTATTTTTAAAACAATTTTGCTATTTAGGGATCGAATCAATTCAATTGTAGTGCAGAAATGTCTTCAAGTCTTATAAAAATGGATTTAAAAACACGACTCCTACCAAAGCATTATTTCCATGATTTTTATAGCCCAAAAGCAACTCATATTGGTAATTTGTTCTTTTGTTTACTTCTGCATTTAATTGTGATAAGCTGACTAATAGCAAGAAAATTGAAAATAACAACATCCCCCATTTTTCAAATTCCACCGTTCCACGGTTGCCGATCAGGCACCGACTAGAAGTTGGTATATTTTTAAGAACCAGACGGTATATTTTTGTAACTGTTCCGCGGCCACACTGCTACGCAGGCAGAAGCAACAACAACTTGAGACTGGGAGAAGAAAATGTATTAAAAACTTTAAAATCCGTGAAAAGCTCAAGAAAATTAAACCTAACTAGGAATTAGAAGTCACATTCAATACAAGCATGGCCTCCGCAACGGTAAGAAATGTATGTATGCCGCACTAACACATAACAAGCTGCTTTTTTGGTGTGCCACCCTGACAATACGACCCGAGGTTTTCTACGAAAATCTTCCCCTTTGAGACTGAAAGAGCTGAATTAATCCCGCTTACGTGTTATACAGGTGCCGCTGCTCGACGATGACACGATACCCTTCGGCGAGGAGGACGAGATGCGGGATCCCAGTCAAGCGGGCCAGAAATACACGTAGGCACAGCCACATAGAACCAATGGATCTCGTAGACTAGCACTTGTAACCCACCTATTATCCCACAGGCACCCGTATGTCACCTTCTTCCACTTGTTCTTCAGGGGCGCCGCCATCGTCATATATATGTTTTGCGGCTGGTTCAGCGACTCCTTCATCACCAGTTTCGTCTTCGTGGTGCTCTTTTTGTCCGCCGACTTCTGGACGGTGAAAAACATCTCGGGAAGACTGCTTGTGGGTCTGCGCTGGTGGAACTACGTCGATGACGATGGAGTATCACACTGGGTGTTTGAGTCAAAGAACGTGAGTCACGAGATAAACCCATTTGAAAGCCTTTGATGATGAAACGCAGTCTGAATCCTACCAGAGTCGGATCAACAAGCACGAGCAGCGTGTCTTCTGGCTGGGACTCATCCTCTGTCCCTTCTTCTGGGGCCTCTTCTTCCTAATGGCCCTGTTCGGTCTGAAGTTCAAGTGGCTGCTATTGGTTATGATTGCCATTGCGCTGAATGCAGCCAATTTGTATGGCTACGTCAAGTGCAATTATGGCGCTAGCAAGGATCTAAATTCCGCCGCCACGGACTTTGTGAAGACGCAGCTCTTTAAGAACGCCATGGACATCATGACCAAGCCCAGTGCCGCCCAGCCGCCAACCAATGTACGTCCCACGGGAGTCGTTTGAGCTGAGTGAACTCCCATTTACTAAGTCACATTGCCACCGTCTGCTGCAGCGTATTCCAAAGAGTATTTGACGCTTCTTATGGCCCAGACCACGGAACTTTCAACGGCATCGCTGTCTGTGTGTAACATATGTAAAACTTAATTTAGCCATATTGCAATCTATCATAATCATTTCGTACTTTTACTTGGATTAAAGGACCGCATGTGCGTGCGACATGCAACCAGTATGCATTGTGGTTTTGTTTAACAGCATGAACGAAATGATTTTGGAAATGGGTTAGTTGTGGCTTTCAGGACTTTCAAAGCAACCATTTTATATGAATTTTTATAAGAACCTTTGTTTTTTAAAACTTGTAATATTAATGGTTCTTAGCAATATTAAATATTTTTTTTGTATAACTTTAAAACTTTTTTAATATATTTGTATCCTCTCTAGAAATTTATTTGTTATGTTATGAAGCACATCAATTTGAGTGCTTTCTAACGTAGAAGCTAGGCCGAAAAAATATATAAGAATGCTACAATGGATTAAATATTTGCATATTAGTAAGTTAAAAATAAAAACATTTTAAATCTGATGGCTTACTTTCCAATAACATTTATTTTAATAAGTTATCAAGGATGTACATGTATGGAAACATGAAGAAATATGTAATCCCCCAGCATGACATTATATTGGATTAACTAAGAAGAAATAGTTAGACATTTTTTTTTCGATTTATGAAAAATCCAAACCATATAACATGAAAACCTTAATTTTTGAATGATGTGATCTGGTTTTTAAGCTAAGAATTCATAATAACGGTACATATCTGGCTTGGCGGTGTGACAGTGCTCTTTTTTACTGAGCTTTCGGGGTCAGTGCGCTACGGGCACACTGGCGCAAAGCACAAAACAGTCGGACGGAAACAGAAAAGAAAGAAATGCAATCTGTGCCGTAAGCGGGGGCGTTCAACAAAGATTATAATTTTCCGGAGAGCGTTCGATTGGTTGCCAAAGATCAGCAGAGCCGTAAGTCCATCCAATTGCCGTCTGAGCCGGTGACGTGCGCACTGGGGTGGGTTCAAAAAAGCCGAAAGGCGGGGGGAACCGCGGCAAAGAAGAGCGAAGGAGGAAAGCGGCGGCATCAACAGAAGCAATCAAGTGGCAACAGGAGATAGCCGGGGCAAAATGCAAAAAGTTAATTAGTCTGGGCCAAAGCAAATCGGACACCCCGCCGCGGGCGACGCCATGGAATTCGCCGACCTGATAAAGACCCCCAAGCTGGACGGAGTCCTCCTTCACGACCCATCAAATGTGGGGGCTTTGGGTGCAACAGTTGGCACGCTGTGCATCACCGGGCACCATCTGCTGCTCAGTGCTCGCCAGGAGACCAGCCAGGAGCTGTGGGTAAGTTTGCTTAGCTGCCCCACCCCCCTTCCTCCTAATCCGATGTGCTTCGGCTTCAATGGAGCGCTAATAATTGGATTGGAAGCTCATCCTCCTGTTTGCCCTTCCAGTTGCTGCACAAAAACATCGACAGTGTGGAGAAGAAACCGAGTCTGTCACAGAACATCGTGGTCGGCGGCCTCATCACCCTAAAATGCAAGGACCTGCGCATCATATCGCTGGAGATCAAGTGCGGCAAGGAGTTCTTCAATGTGGCCGCTTCGCTGGAGGCACTCAGTGGCATCCAGAACACCGAGCTGCTGTATCCCTTCTTCTACCGGCCCATGTACACCATCCTAGAGGACGGCTATACGATGTTTAGGTGAGTGCACACATTCCCCATCACTGACAAATTGGCTACAATTCAATTATCCTCCCCCTAAATGGCAGGCCCGAGCTGGAGTTCGCCAAGCTCATCAGCGGGGTGGGCATGGGCGGTGCGTCCTCGCCAAATGTGGCCAACGTAACAATTTGCATGCCATCAACTTCGACATCGACGCTTGCTGTGGGCTCTGGCCTTTCCCATCCCCTGCAAAATGGTTTTGCGATAGACGCTTTGGCGAGTGGCGGTGGTGGTGGTGTTGGTGTGCTCCAAGGACCTCAGGCCGCCTGCGAGTGGCGCATCAGCAATGTCAACAGAGACTTCAGCGTCTGTGCTACATATGGCGCCACGCTAATTGTACCTAAAGCAATTACGGATGAGCAGATAGTGCTCTCCGCCGCGTTCCGAGACGGCGGACGCTTTCCGGTGCTGAGCTACAAGCATGAAAATGGCGTAAGTCACTGCAACCACAGCCGCCAATTCGATTAGATTAATGCAATGAATCACATTAACAGGCCACATTGATGCGCAGCTCACAGCCGCTGTCAATTCAGGGCATCAAACGCTGCCGGGCCGACGAGGCCATCCTCAATTTGGTGCTGGGGCGCAGCCGAAAGGGCTTCATTGTGGACACGTGGGGCAAGGGAAAGTCTAACACGGAGACGGACCTGCACTACTCGCAGTGGAAAAAGGTCAACCGCTCCATTGGCAACGTCAGCTCGCCCGCCTCCATTCTGGATAGTTTCGCACGGCTAATCGAGGCCTGTAACGATTTGGGCTGCAGCACGGACAAGTGGCTATCGCGGCTGGAGGCCAGCGGCTGGCTTAGCCTCGTGCTTAACTCTCTGAACGCCTCTTGTGTGGTGGCACAGTGCTTGGATCAGGAGGGAAGTCCAGTGCTGGTTCACGGCGCCAAAGGCTTAGACTCCACGCTAATTGTCACCTCGCTGGTACAAATCATTCTTAATCCCGACTGCCGAACAGTAAGGGGGTGAGCTTTCATTTTAGGATTGTCCTGATTCTGATTGGTGATCTGAAATAATGTATTTCCTTCACAGCCTGCAGGCTTTGATAGAGCGCGAATGGATACAGGCGGGCCATCCGTTCGCCTCGCGTCATCGATACTCTTGCTATACACCAAATCAGACTCGCAACAAGGGCTCGGGCGCCACCTTTGTGCTTTTCCTGGACTGCATCTATCAGCTGTACACGCAGTTTCCCTGCAGCTTCGAGTTTAGCACGCATCTGCTGATCCTACTGTTTGAGCACAGCCACTTTTCGCAGTACGGTACGTTTCTGTGCGACTCGGAGCGGGAGCGAAACGAACTGAACGTGCACACCAGGACGACGAGCCTTTGGTCTTACCTAAACCGACCAGATGTCCTCCAGACACTGCTGAATCCGCTGTACGAGCCCAATGCCAGTGTGATATGGCCATCGGTGGCGCCAATCAGCTTGGAGCTATGGAGCGGTATGTCATAATATTTGGATCTATGAAAGCGTCGTTAATAAACTCTTATTGTAGATCTTTATTTGCGCTGGGTGATCGATCAGCGCAGCTGTGCCACTGTCATGACCCAAATACAGGAACTTGTGACCCGCGAAAAGGAACTCAGAACTCAGGTAAGTTCATCCAAATCAAGAAAATTGTTTGGCTAACGCGTGCTGTCCTTAGGTCCTCAAACTGCGCAAACAAGCCTTGGAACTCGGCCAGGAAGTGTCCACACTCATGAACAAAGCAGACGATGCATAATCGGCTACCTCAGAAGTTCTCTATCGTTTTAATCTCCTGCATGATATACATTTATTTTTGATACGTTCTGTTGCAAGATTTCGACAATTATTTAAGCATATAGCAACACTAAAATTAAGTCACTAAAAGTTCCATTTACAAGAAATTGTGCTGAAGATAACAGAAAATAAACAAGGTAAATTGAATTATTAGATACACCATAGGATCAGCTTTTGGATCAACTGGAACACTCAATTTTAGACATTTGTCCATTTTTAACAACTATACTTCTACTGTAGAAGTTCTGCGACGTAACCATAAAATAAAAAGTGAACTTATTGATGTAACTTAAAACTCTCTAATTGCAAAGCGCTCTCTACTCTCAGACTCAGATTTAGATTCGAAAATTGAAACTGCACATGGCAACTATCAAATATTTGAGTCAATTTTTGACGCATTTACTTTTATGGAATTTTTAGCGCATAAGTCTCCAAAATTACCTATTTATAGTACTTACTTTTGTCAGTTGTTTAGTGGTCTCCAAGCCGCACACATTAAATTTAGTATTACAATATAAATTCAAAAATTTGCCTTTTTCGAAAAATTTGTATGTACATTTGATTAAATCGCATAAATCTAAAGCTTAAAAAGCGTTTATATTAACAATAATGCTGTGCATGCGTTGGTAAATCCACAAACAAATATTGTAAATTATACACATATAAATGTTTGTAGCTGTTATCTACTATGTGTTTATTTCGAATTGTGATCGTATTCGAAATAACAGAATTTTGTATGTAATTTATATCCGTATTTACATTTCTATTGTGCGTATTTTGTGTAATTATCGCTTAAGTGCAATAAATACGTGTTAGTTTGCAAAAAACCAGCTGTGTTTTGATTCAGATTTGTCGGTTTCACTGCTATTCACAGGACCACCTGTTGATAGAAGTCTCTTAAATATAATTTTCGTTTTACTGAAACTCATGTTTGCTGTTTTGTATAAAGAAAATTTGTTTATTTTTGCTAGACTCATTTAAGACAACATTTATTTCCTGTTGTTTTGGTTTACTGTTTATTTCGCTGTAAAAACGTATATAAAACTCACTTTAATAAAGTACAATTAATCCCCAATTTTTCGATTGTACGTTATCCTTGACAACAATAACAAAATAAGTGAAAGCAAATGTGTGTTTTCGACTAAAGAATGCAAAATGAACAGAGGAGAGCTGAGGAGAACAAAGGGAAGCGAAGCGTCCAATCGATTGAATCCGTGAACCTGTCTTAGCAGGCCTCGTCCTCCAAGAAGAAGAACTGGCCTGAGCGTTTCTGTTCCGTGTCCTTAACCGAGTTGTTCTTGTTGATGCGGGGCCTGAAGTTATTGGGATCGCGACGGAAGGTGATGCCGAGCAGTTCGAGGAATCGGTTCATGCCATTCAGCAGCGATTGAGGCGAAAATGCCGTCGTCTTCACCGAAGGCTGACCCTCAATAACAATGACACGGTCAGCGAGGTAGGTGGCCATGATGAAATCGTGCTCCACCACAAAACCAGTTTTCTTGGCATGCAAAATGTAGCTAAAAATTGCAAACAATCAATAGTTCAAATGATAACATGGAGGGTAGATAAAACATAAAACATACCGCTTAATAACCTTGGCGGCAACCAGACGCTGCTCGGAGTCCAAGTAGGCAGACGGTTCGTCGATGAGGTAGACATCCGCTGGCTTGCCTAGACACAGAACCA